AAGTCTCCCTGCACCGTAAAGGGCGTGCACAAGACATCTCTGCCCCAGAAGAGTTCCAATCTATTGGACTCCATGCATTTTCCTTCTTTTCCCTTCTTTACCTACTAGAGGTGTCGTGTAGCTGTGGCTGTTGCTAACCCATGGTGTGCCCTTGTGGAATTAAAAAGGCACCCCTTCCTCAAGATACCTTACATCCGTTGGTCAGAAATTGTCATCATGTACTGATTTTGTTAGAACAAGGTGCTGCTATATACCAGAAAGTTGTCGCAATAAGTCTACCATGTTTACAATGTGAACGATGCCTCCTTAGATACGGCACCCTTGTGCAGCGTACAATTTGTCCACCTGTACATAGCAGGTCTGAACTACCAAGGGAGAGGCAGGCCACCAGAGGCCAGAAAAGCACAGCTTGTTCAATGCTCTTGTGAATGGGGGGGTGTGTGTGTGTGGGGGGGTGAGGGGGTGGGAGGGTGTATTCTCTTTCTTTGGGTTCTGATCAATAGCTGAGCCACTGATCAGAGTCAAGACAGAACTATGAGTCCAAGACTCCTCTAGTCTGGCAAGTCCACCATACTCCCCAAAGAAACTGCCTGCAAGGAATTATGGAACACTGCTCTCCTCTTGGGGGCATTCCTGGGGGACAGACAGAGCCCAGACCAGCGGGCAGAGGCAATCAGCAGATACTGCCACTCCAGGGCGCATCTGATGTGATGGCCTCTTCAGAGGTTTGTAAGCCTGACTCCTGAGTAGTATAGATGGACTGACTCACTGCAAATTCCATGGATCCACGGTGGGGTGGACAAGATCAGTAGTCTCAAATGAAAACAGGTAAGACAGAAATTAATAGAAATTCTAATGATTTCCCCCATATCTCAATAGATCACATTGTACGTGTCCTGGGGTAGGCACAGCCCACTTTGTTGACCACTGATCTAGAATCTGTTACTCCACTTACAGCAGCTGTGCAGGCAAGGCTAATTGATTACCACGCTCCCCCTGAGCCTGGAGGCATTCTCATACTCCATTACAATGCAGTGATTGCTAGGTCGGGGCTCAGCAAACGGTGCCTTGAGGGCCTTATCCAGCCTGCCGCTTGTTTTTATTAATAAAGTTTTATTGGAACACAGCTCCACTCACTTGTTTACATATTATCTATGGCCAATTTCGTACTCCAGTGGCAGAGCTGATTAACTGCCTCAGAGACCATACAGTCTAAAAGCCTGTGAAAATTAATAAGGGGAAACCTCATTTAAAATGGAGTTGGGGGCCCAGAAGGCAGAGCCCTCATGTGCCCCTACTCGACCTCAACTACAGGAAGGATTGTCAATTACAGACCTCACCAGGAAGAAGTCCTCAACAGGAAGCATCCTCAATGACAGACCCCAACAGGAAGAGATGTACATCGCATCCCCAACAAGAAATCGACTGCCCTGGACACAGCCAATGAGAAACCACCACAGCCCTGAACCGTCACTTTCCAACAGTGGATTTTGTTCAAAACAACCACTCCCAACTTCCTCCTTTTTCTCTACATAATAACGTTCCTCTCCTTTGCTTGCTGGACTTGCCTGTGGCTTTTGCTATAGCTGGCTTGTCCTCAATTGCAATTCCTTTGCTATTCCTGAATAAACCCATTTTGTTGGTCAAGTTACTGGCCGTTTTACTTTCTTTAGGTCAAAAAGTGCCAAATACTTATTATCTGACTCTTTACAGAAATGCAAGAAATCTGACCCCTGCTCTAGGTAGTCAAGTGTGCGTTGGTAATGAAAGGTAAAACATTTGTGGGCTGGCCCTGTGGCCAAGTAGTTAGTTTTGTAGCCCAGGTTCGCCGGTTCGGATCCTGGGCGTGGACCTACTCCACTCATCAGCCACACTGTGGAGGCATCGCGCTTACAAAATAGAGGAACATTGGCAATGGACGTTAGCTCAGGGAAAATCTTCCTCAAGCAAAAAAGCAAACAAAAAAACCATTTGGTATCCCTGCTCTCAAGTCAGGCTAGACTTTGGAGAATACCTCTTTGTGCTAATGAAGTCAAGCTTGGCCTTGCTTTCTTCTGTGGGTACTTAATCTTTGCTAGCTTTTTAGAAATCGAATCCATTGGTCAGAAGGGCCCAGAAGTGAATGTGGATGAAACTGGTCACCTGAAGTCCATGTCCTACACAGTATGGTCAGCAGGGTCCACTCCACCCTCAGCTCCTCTGCTAGTTGCCTCCAAGTGGCTGTGGTGCTCCTCAGCACAGGTGACACCAGCAGCCCCGAGGCCTCCACCACCAGAGGGCTGCAAAGATGCCGCATATCACCAAGGGGGCCGTGGGGATCTCTGCTGACATGTTCGGATTTCTTAAGAGGAATTTTTTTTTTAATTCAAAATTTGAGGGGCCAGCCGCATGACCCAATGGTTAAGTCCGTGTGCTCTGCTTTGGCGGCTCAGGGTTTCGCTGGTTCGGATCCTGGGCACAGATGTGACACTGCTCATCAGGCCATGCTGGGGTGGCGTCCCACATAGCACAACCAGAGGCCCTCACAACTAGAATCTACAACTACGACCTGGGGGGCTTTGGGGAGAAGAAGAAGAAGAAAAAAAAAAAAAGATTTGAAGTAGTAGTTGGGAAAGGAACTGAAATGGTGTATTTCTCCCCGTCCTGACAATTCCCAACTGTGACAACACTCCCTTATCTCTTCCTCTTTGGCTCCAGCCATCGGAAGTGGGAAAGAAGAAAAGGAGTAAGAGCTGATAAAGGAGGTAAAGAGAAAAGGAAGGCAGAGCCTGAGGGAAACCATGGTCTGAAAGATTTGAAGTGTTTCTATATGCTGAGCATGTATCATATATATATGCTTAAATATATAAACCTAAATAGAGTCCACCCCTGGCAGGTTTGGGCAATTCCCACTAATCAGGGACCACTGATCAGGGACCAGCCTGAGTCCTTACACAGGAGCTAAGAGATTAGGGAAGAACACAACAAACCAGCCGGCCTGGGGAAGCCACTCCACAGGCCTTGCAGAGGCTGGAGGTCCGTCAGCTGCTCTGCTCCAGCCCCGGCCCTCTCCTCACCCCAGGCCCCATCGCTGCGTCCAGTTTGGAGATGGGAGCAGGCCTGAGAACTGGAAGTAAAAATGACAAAATCTGCTCCTTGAAAGCTGTCACCATGGATAGGAAGAATTCTGTTTTGGTCACATGTAATGGACCATGACACAAAGAAAAAGGTGGGTGCTCCCTCTTTTCTGGGGAGAAGGACACTTGTGGTTTCAGAATGTCACATGCCCGGAAGACTCGTCCTTGGGCGTCTATGGAGCACCTCGGACGCAGGCAACAGCTGCTCTGCTGTGGCCCCAGGAGCCACATTTCCACAGCTTAGTGGGAGCGAAGGCCTTGGTGGCGGGTTTTCCTGGAGACAGCCAGAGCAGGAGAAGAGAAAGTGGCAGACACTCGTTTCCGGCAGGATTTGCTGTGTGCACACGTGAGTACATTGGTTTGGGTGATACCCACTCTGGCTCATTGGAGGCTGGTCCACACGTGCTGCTCTTGCTGTTGCCATTGCTATGTTTTCATTTTTGTTTATCCCCACACCCTCTCCTTTGGGAACTGCTGCTTTCCCATTCCACACAGTTCTGGCGGGCCAGTTAATTGTGTGGCTCTGGCTTTTCAGCCACAGAGGTGGTCCCTGTCGGGAGAGAGCCTCCCTGGGTCCCTCACATCCTGCTGTGTGTGCCAAGAATGCAAAATCCTAACCACTGTTTTATCTCAGCCAGTTCTCAGGGTTGTTTACACAGCTGGTGACCTTGTGGGACAAGGGACTGTCTCCCCCTGGACAAAGAGCAGGCTTGCGTGCTATAAAAGCAGTGGCTTCCCCCAGCTCCAAGATCCTCAGCTGTGGTGCACACCCATTGCCTGTGTGGTCGCCCTCTGGGTTATGCCATCTGGCTGCTCACCTGAGACTCCGGGAGGCCCCACCAGAGACGCTGGTGTTCATGCTGGGTGCTGTGCTCTGCATAATAAAGTCTCTAGTCTCTGACCCATCCCTTGTCTTCTGGCAGCATGCAAGAAACAGCAACGGGCTAACCTATTAGCTTGAAAGGAGGGTAAAATCTAAGCACAGAGAGGCTGGACATTTCGTTTCTGGAAATGGACCCAAACAGGTCTTCTCTGAAGTTCTTTTGAGACATTGATGTGAATCTAGGAGAGAAAATATTGAGCATTTCCCTGAGTTTGCCGATTGTGTAGACGGTGACCTGGCAGCTGTAAATGTAGGGATTTGAGTCATACTTTACACACGTAGTTGCTATGCTGTTACTCAGATCCCTCCCCGTTTAGGGCTTTCGCGTGCTGTAGTTGTAAGGGTGAACGCTGATTGCAATGCTGTGTGTCTCCCTCCCCTCCCAGCCCCCATCTCCACCTGTGTGCAATGCTCACTTTCTTCTGTCGGTGAGGGAAGTGGGTGTGGGTACAAGTGAAGTGCCCCCTCGGTTCTGAGAGCAAGCTGACCAAAGCGTAAAGTGGAGCCACCATCAAGCTGACATTTAGTAGTCTGGGGCCTGCGCAGACCAGGGCGCACGTCCACAGGCACTGAAACTGCCGTGGCATTGAACGTGAGTCTGAACAGCTCAGCGCCCGCCTCTGTGAGGACACCTGCCAGACTCCCTTCTCCCCACACGCCCGACTGGGGAGTGAACCCACCAGATGCAGTGCCTGGGGTTTGCCGCTAGGTGGACCTCTAAAGACTTAATTTCCAGCAATCAGTGTGGGTTTGGGGTGGGGGTCATTTTTCCCTCAGAATTTAGGTCCTAGGCTTTAGGTAACTCAGATTTCGGTACTAGGTGAAAACTCCTGCGGTTCATTTGAGATGTCCTGACTCACACTGGTGAGTACGGTAAAGACAGCTATAAACCCAGGTTTCGTCGGTGGGGGTGTTCTTTAGTGAATTGTTCACCCGCGGGCTGGGTGAGTCCTGTTGTACTTCACCTGCTCAGAAGGGCACCTTTTTGTACTTTTCATAAGGTGCCACATGTCCTGATGCTGGCGCTGGTTTGGGGCCACCAGGAGAAGAGCGGAAGTCTCGTGCCCAACCCCCCGCCCTCCAATCACTGAGACAACACCAGCAGCCACTTACCTGGAGATGCGCTGTTAGAGGAGAGAAAATGAAAGCCACGCTCTGTGCCGTCGGTTTCTGTTCCAGCTGATGGAAATCCCTGACTGATGAATGAAAACTAGAGGAAAAGCTCCAAGAGAACAGAACCGGGAGAGACGCTTTCCCCCCTCTCGAGGAGCACGGGGCGATGCGTCTGGCCTGGGTTCGAGGTGCAAACCTGTTATCTCGTTCTGTGCCCCTGAGCCAGTCACTCTGCCCCCCAAGGCCCACTGTCAAGGCAGGACCACCGCGCTCTGACTCCCCCATGCCCACAACTGTCGTGATGTCCTCCTGCTGTGCCGTGGGCCCCAGGACCCAGGTATCAGAAGCACAGATTTCCACCTCCCTCGCAGTTGCAGGCTGGGGGACAAAGGAGCACCCCTCTGGTGGGATGGGCACAGTTCCAAAAGGAAATAAGTAGCTGAAGTTATTTCACGCACACCACAGCTCAAAGTCTGATGACACGCGGCCAATCCCTCTGCAGCGAGGCCTTTGGAAATCGCAGTGTCCCCGGGAAGAGCCTCAGACACCTGCTGTGTCATTTCCAAGACCGTCTTCTCCAGGTAAGTAAGCACAGCAGAAAGGAGGCCCGCCCCATAGCACGGAGGGATTTTCGGCCAGATTTTTATTTTTTCTGCAGATAGCTTTTGACGTTTACTTTAATTCTCTTTATTGTGAACTGAAACAACCATATAGAAAAGTATATGAAACATAAGGTACAGCTTAATTTTTCTCTCGTATAAAGTAAACGCCTTCTCAGTTCAGGAGATCACCAGCTGCGCGCCCCCCGGAACCCTCGCGCGCATCCCTTCTGGGCTGCGGTTCCCCTTTTCAAAGGTGATCGCTGGGCCTCCTTTTATGCTCATTCACTTCTTTGCTTTTCTTTAAAATTTTACTACTTAAATATACATCCATGGACACTGTTGTTTGATTTTTCCCTGTTGTTGAAATTTTTCAGAAGTGCATCCATCCAGTGTGTGTTCTTTACGTCTGGCTTTCGTTCTTTATGTTGGTTTTGACCAGCGTGATGTTTGCGAGACGCGGTCACATTGCACACGGCTGTCGTTAATTCAGCGTATAGCGTCGTACTGTGTGAATAATCAACCGGTTTTTACAAATTCACTTGATTGTGGACATTTGCTTGTTACCAGTGAGGGGATCCTATGAAGACATCTGCGTTCTCCTCGATGCCTCCGTGTACCCACATTTAAGCAGAGTAGATATGTTGGGTTAGAACTGCCGGGGCGTGGGGTACGTTCCTTCGACTTGACTAGATGATGCCCAAGTGATTCCACTGATTTATGCTCCCACAGCTGTGGTGAGTGGTCTCTGTGCTCCACATTCTCACCGGCATCCAGTGATGCCAATCTTTGCAAATGTAGCTTTTCTGTTGGCGTGCTTTGTGTGTGTGTGTGTCTGAATCTGAAATAGTGGGTGGCCTTCTTAAGACAAATCACTTGGTCTTTAGAAGTGGGCGACTGACTAAGAGGCTGTTTTGAGGCCCCTTCTGGGGGCTGCACCCTGGAGAGAGAATGAGCTCAGGAGTCAGGTTTTGGGGTTCAATCCTGGGTATACTACCTACTAGCCGTGTGACCCCAGGCAAGTTAGTTAACCTCCCCCACCTCAATTTCCTCATCAGTAAAATGGGATAATAGTCTCTACATCCTGGGTGTGTGTGAGGATTAAATGAGATACTACGTGAAAAGGGCCTGCCTGGAATACGCACGTGGTGCATGTTAGCCATTATTATCCTTGAGAAGAATTCTCCCCTCCGAGGGCTGTGAGACTCACCCAGGAGAATGGCAAAAACATCATGCCTTTTGCGTTTCCGAGGTGCTTTACTTGTTGTAGACTCTGCAGGCTAGTCCTAATGTTAGCACTGCCCCTCAGCAGCGTGAGGGAAAGCAGGTGGTTTGTGTCCTTGACTGAAAATTACCTAAAGTGCTCAACTCCTCCGATCCTTTGAACTGAACGTCTCCGAGGTCACAGACATTACAAGTGGAGAGCCAGAGGCACAGCAGGGGCCCTTTCTAGACTGTTCAACAGCAGTTTTGAGTCAGCCCTCTCCTACTTGTTGGTGTAGTGGGGTACTTACACACTTTGCTCAGGTCGGGGGTGTATGCATGGCCTCAAGGAGAGGTGGGTGGTTCGGGCTGCTGTGTATGGAGGGGAGAAGCGTGCAGTTTATGTTGAGTTTACTAAGGAACCAGAGTGAAAGCCCAGTGGAGCGCACGCCTCTAACATGCTGGAGAGCAGCTCGAGAGCGAGAAACCTCTGGAGCGCACTGGATGGGGTGAAAGCCTGGGGAGGAGGGGAGAGACGCGATCCTGGGAAAGTTGAGGGGCTGGGGTGGGGGAACCTAAGGAGATCGTTGGTGTGAGTCAGAATGGTCTGCATGCCCAGGGGCAGCCAGCCAGCCAGCCTGCCACGGTCCCAAGCCATGCCTGTTGATACCCGTGCAGAGAAGTAGCTTTGGCTGTTCTGGCCTCAAGGCATCCTCTGGAGGGCACTACCACCTCGAAAGCCCTTCTAGAAACAGAGAGGGAAGTGGTGCTATGGAGGGACAGTCAGAGGTCCAGGACCTGGGTGGAGCTGCATAGAGCAGAGGCTGCCCTTGCTACACTGAAATGGAAAGATGTTTGCCGTGCACTATAAACCGGTGCAATTATACAATGACAGGTGCACGATTGCACCTGTAGCATGATGCCATCTAACAACAGATGTCTGTCTAAAAGGGTCCGGGAGGTATCTCAGTGGCATTAAAAGGAATTCTCTCTGGGTAGAATTACTGGTTCTTTTTATCTCCCTCTATTTCTGTATTTATTATGTATCTGCAGATTTTTCTGGTTAAATGAGTTTTTGTATTACTTTTGTAATTAGACTAAAAGGAGCAGGAACATTACCAGGATGTCTCGTTTAAACTAACTCGTTGCGGGTGGGGAGGGAGGTGAATTCATGGATTCTTGTTAAAGTCAGCATTCATGATTAAGCTCCACTCATATTATACGTGTAGTAAGTGTCATCTACTTACATGCCTGTAATGTGTTCCCGTCCACACGTTGGTCACTGACTAGCTGATAAGATGTGAGGTTCACTCCCGTTTGGGGGCAAGGCCAAAAGATCCCCCTGACCCCTCGCTCAAAGGTTCTGGCTAAGGTTATTTCCATGGCAATGAGGGAAAAAAATAAGCCAGAAGATGTGTATCTGGACTGGGGAAAGGCGAGGTGCATCTTTCTTCTGTCTGATTTTCCTTGGTGTCTGGCAGTGACGTTGTTCGTTTGGCGCTGGTCACGGTTGCCTCCTGCCCCTGACGGGGGTTGCCGATGTCAAGGACTTGAGAGAATAAATCCCTAATCTTCTTAAGTACCCAAAGGAGGGAGGAGTCCAGGGCTGGTATGGTGGCCCCAACAGGTCATCAGTGCACAGGCCCCTCCTGTTCCTGCCCCATGCCCCTCGGTGGGTGGCTCCTGGCACTGAGCTCGCAGGACCACGATGGGATCTTCAGCCACTGTGTCCTCATTTCAGCTGCAACTGGACAGGGGAAAGGGGCCTTCCAAGAGGCCTCACCGAGGTTGCCCTCGTATTTGGTAACACCCAACCTGCACAAGAGGCTTGGAATGCAGTTGATTTTATTTATTTATACATATATATAAAATCTGCCCCATTGCGCAAGACTTCTGTTACAAAAGGAGAAAGAACAGACCCTGGGCAGGCAACAAGCAGTATCAGTTTAAAGCCTTGCTTTTTTCAGCAAAGTCTGTCATTTATAAGTGCTCCAGAGATTTCAGGATCAAGGCAGATTTATGGAAAAAATCAGAAAGCCAAAGGTGCCATAAAGAGTCCCACGGGAACAGTCTACTCAACAAGATGCTTTGTCAGCAGTTGGTCAGCCAGTGTCTCCTCCAGTCCCCTGAGGGCTCAGCGTGGCAGCCCCGCCACTCGGCTGGCACTGTCAGTGGCGCACAGTTGTCAGTGCAGGTGATCCATGGAAAGCGAGCACAAGAGCAGACAGTCCTTGTCCGTCATCTCCATATTTCCCTCTGTCCTCCTACAGTGGGACGTTCTTCTGACAGTCACTGAAGTTGCTGACATGGTTGGCATTGCAGTTTCTAGAGGGAACCCTCCACCCTTCTAGTGGGGAGGAGCTCCTGGAGCAGTGAGACCCAGAGACCCCCAGTGGCCAGAGATGGGCTTCTTGTAAGACCAATGCTTGGAGTAAAAGGGTCGTGGAATTCCCTTTTTAAACATGTCCTTCTTAAAATTCGGAATAAAATTTGTGCTAATATATGTTATCTGGGCCTGAAATGAGTATAATCTCTCTTAAAACCAGAGTGGGTCAGCCTTTAACTAGAAAGAGTCTGCTGACCAGAATTAAGTAAGGAGGGGACAGTCCACAGGGGAAAAGATAAGGCTGCTCCAAAGACTGTCCCCGCTCTCAGAGAACGGTGGGGAGCTGCCCCTCGGGAACTTCCCGGGAAGAAACGTGTTCAAAAGGAAGGTGGTTTCACAGGAGGCCGGTTTTGAGGTGGGAGGAAGGTCGCTTCAGGAGGTTCCATCAAAGGAAACGGAGCCTCTGACCCTCTGGCTGCCTCCCCTGCAGCGGTCTGAACTCTGAACAAGTGCAGACCTTATCAGGGCTTTGAGATCCAAGAGGTTGTGAAGCTTTGCTTAATTCTCTAACTCTGGAAACCTTCTGCCTTGAAATGGGACATTTCCCTGGGTCAACTGCCCCTAACTCAGCTCGGAAATGCCTTCTGGAGTCCCGCAGCAGGTCCCCGCCCTTCCCTCGGCCCTCTGCTGGAATGTGCTGCCAGCATCACTACAGTCGCTCCTCAGAGCTTTCTAGGGCTCTCGGCCAGTTCTTGGTACTTCTTTTTGGTCTACAACAGAGAGAAGCTGATGAGCAAGTTATAGACTTTTGTGACTTATTACTGAGTACTAAGTAAAATCAATGCTCTATTATTACAGAATGAGCAACGTGACTGTCAAATAAGCAACTGATAAAGACAGTCAACTGAACTTAATGATCAACTGAGAAAGAAAAGCCCAATTTCTTGTACTTAAGAAAATGCTTATTGAGGCTGTACTACCTGAGATATCCTGCTCATCCTTAGAGGGACACAGAGAATGTGCTGAACGGTTTTTCTCTTTGCAGCGAGTTTATAATCCTCTCATCCACGGGCAGGGGAAGTAATTATAAAATAAGACGGATCAAGATAAATCCCATGAAGAGAGTACCAGACAGTGATGGGGCTCAGAGGAAGGAGAGCCCAGATTATCAGGGGAGGGCTTGGGGAAGCAGCAAATGCAGGTGGCCAGCAGGAAGCGTGAGTGTTCCAATGGGTCGTGTTTGGGATCCGGGAGTGGTCCAGGGTGTCCTGAGATTAGAGCACATACAGAAGGGCAGGAAGAAGCTGGAGAAGGCAGGCAGGAATTTATTCTTTCTTTTCCTCTTTATTCTAAGTTTTGGTATTATTTGAAGTTCGTGGTTAATAAACTGAATTCGCTTACTGTCACTCTAACTCTATGTACATATATATATATATATACACACAAGTATGAA